ACTAAATACATTTTAAATCAACCTTCTTTTGTCAATGTGAGTTGTTTTTCAGTGTTATTTATAAATACATTTATGTTGCGTTAAGTTAAATGTGCACAAATTACTGATTTTTTTTTTTTTTTTTTTTTTTTTAACGGTTGGTAAGGTCTACCTGGCAAGCAAGTGCCAAGAAGGAATAGCTCTCATACTCACTCTGTGATACCACAGTGGCATTCCAGGCATTAGCAACAGTGTTCAACTTAACTGGCACCACTGGACACGCTAAGGGGAAAGGGTGTTTTGACAACATCATAAAACAAAAGTATTTTTTTTATATATTTAAGTTCTATATTTATTTTTTACCATCACTATATGTGCAGTGTTGGTGAGACGTTTGTGACTGAATTCAGCAGAGTCACTGAGGCTGCCAAGACCAAGAGGATTCACAGCTACCGGTGTACACTGGTCTAAAATACAGGTTGCCTCTTTGTGTCCCTTCTGTGGGTTGACCACAGAACAGTTTCTACAAACAAAACAAAAAACACAAAAAACAACAACTCAAAGTGCAGACTGTAACTGTCAAAGCAGCCAAACTTAAGTCTCATGTTTCATGTCATTTTATTCATAAATAATGTACATTATGCTATGGCGATTATATATATTTCATCTCTTGCCCACCAATGCCCCCAGTAGCCCAATTCTGATCTGGGTGCCCCGGTTCCTCGACACCTGACACAGACCTTGTTGATCCGGGCAACATCCGAGCTGATATGACTTCATATTTCTGTCTCTCGCTCATGTCTGCGGTAGGTAGGTAGGCTTGGTTAGCATGGGCGGGTCTAGTCTAGGACCCTTACTGGATACAGACACCCCCAGGTGGGAATCGAACTTGCGACTGCCTCTCCAGAGGCGTGTAGTCGTACGTACATGGTATACGGACTGCTTCTTATATAGCGCTTTTCTACTCTGTCTGAGCACTCAAAGCGTTTTATACAACTAATTCATTCACCCTTCACCCTCATGTCATACCATACAAGTGAGTGTCAGTCCACTGGCACTCAGCTGAGGTAAAGTCATGAGGATCACACTTAAAATAGGTGGGTAGGGGTTTGATCTGGGGATGAGGACCAGTAAACTCTTAATCATATTCAAGACATAAGTAGCCTAAATATTAAAAGATATTATTAATTGAAATATTTGAAATAAAAAGCTCTGAAATAATCTAGAGTGAGCATCAACGGGAACTCGGCACACCCCACAATATTTGATTACCACCAACAGACCAGCTACTTCACAAATCCTCCTGAGTAAAGAAACTCTGCCATGCCAACCCATTAATCAAGATTAGATATGAAAATATTTGACAAATCTGTTTATCTTACATTCAACAAACACAACTGCTCAATGCAGCCTTTCCCTGCAGTCTGCCGAACAAGAGACAATCCCTTCTTACATGTGAGACGTGCCACCTGATTGATGGCCCCAAGAAAGAAAGTTCATTGTCTCATCCTGGACAACTTTCAAGAAAGTTGACTGTGTAATGTGAATATGAGAGAGTCTTTAAAAATAGTTTAGTGCATTTTAGAGCTGCCAAATGCCCTAATTTTTACTGTATTGAAATTGTTTAAATACATTATACAAAATGTAAAAATACAATATTAATTACTAGTATTATTATCTTTTTCAAGTCATAAATGATGTGAATATTGTATCTGCTTTAAAATCTCATAAAGGTAGTGCTAAAGCAGTCAACAAAATGACCAAAAAGGAAATGATTACATAGAAGACTGTTTCATTGAATTCACTTCTTAGAATGACGTAATTGAAGGTTGTGGCTGTTCCTCCCAAACAGGATATGGAGAGTGGCTGTGTGTTTCTTTAAGTAGAATAGGATTTAACACCAATAGGATTTAAGAATTGGAGCATCCACAGTTTAACTATAACGCACTAAGAACCGCAGCAATTTCCTAATGTTGTAAACCTGCTCAACATTTGGCAATAAAACCCTTTCTGATTTCTGATTTCTAAATGGCAAAAAGAAACTTTTAACATCACATTCATTCAACTAGGAGTGGTTGATTTACCAGAATAGGGATATCTTTATCAGTGCATTTAAATCCAAATCCATTTTTGCACAAATTTGCTTAGCCAAAACGGTTATTGTACACATTTATTTCCTAAAATTTAGGCCCAGTGGGGAATACAGATTAACTTCTTTGATTTCTTTGTAATGACATGTTGAAGTATCACTTAGTCTTTTTGATTCTCAAGAGGTTTGTCATCTGTTTTATAACTGGATAGTTTATTATGTACTCAAGCTTCTCTAAATAGGTTATGACCGTACAGTCATTGGCTGTGACTCCCTGTGATATGTTTTACCGCTCCGCTTTGATAGATGGCAGCAGATCTCTGGCTAGAGCTGCAAATGGTACACTGAGGAAGAAGTGGGCGTGGGTTTGCTGGCACTACAGCGCCACTTTTGAGCGGTCGTTTATGTTGTCAACAATAACAGACCGCTGAAGTTGTCAAGCAACGTCGAGGAAAAGTCATACATCAGTCCCGCGACGGTATAGTCTTTAGTTGGGTATGAAAGTACATTATATTATTTTATTTTGATTAAATCCAGTTGTGTAATGCATGAAGGCACAATTAAAAACAGCAGCTCTAGACCCTGATGCTGACATTCACTGCTAGCATAGACAGTCTTTGGTTGCTAGGAGCCGAGCTGAGCTAACGCCACTGGTTTATTAACCTTAGCGCTCTGCACTTAATGAGAGAAAGCGGTTACACTGTGCATGGCGAAGATTCAAAATCAGTGAAAGTCAACGATTAGCTTTATTGTAAGGTCAACATTGAAATGTTAACGAAAACTTGTGATCTGTGTATGATCTTCAGATGAAGGTCTGGTTATGGCTTGGCTTAATAGTGATAACTGGCCATCAGTTACATAACAAAGCTATCGAAATATCTTGATAGCTTATTTTTTCTGCGGGCCCACAGGAGGCACTGGCTACCTCCCAAAATTTGCTGGCACGCCCAGTGGCTCCCCCTGACTGCCCTATGTTGGGAATAATGTAATAAGGGTGCAGAAAAGCTGGTGCCAGTCCCTGGATCACTATGCATCTCGGGGCCAACATGGAAATCTAATGATCTAATATTTATTTGTATTTCATGAACAAGTTTGCTGTTAAAG